GCGGAACGCTATGCGTGTCACACTGCCTAAACAGTTGTTGGCCTCGCTTATAGCAAGCCTCAGAATCCGACGAGGCTGGCCTCAGACGAAGGCTGTGCGCGCGTTGCTCGGCTTTGGTTTGGGTTCGTCGGATAAATCCCGAGGCTCGATACGCGCGGTCTCGCTGACACTCCACGCACAGTGTGCGAGGCCAATAGCGATCTATGGAATTCCACAGTACTACTTTGAGCTGATGATACGGAAGGAGAAGATAGAAAGAAGGGAAATCGGTATTGATAGCGACGAAACCCGGAGATATATACTATTGGGTATTACTGGTGTTGGGATAGTCCGGGATCGTAGGATCCCTGCCTATAGCCCACTGAAAGTCCCCCACACACGGTCGATCGTTTTCAGTCTGACAGGGATATTCAGGATTTCTCAGGTTCCCCTGTCGCCTAAGTTGTTCCCTCTCCCTGTATTCACGGTATTCCGGATCCCTTAAGCTCTCACGATTGGTGACCCAGAAGGGCGCTTCTATAGCCATCTCCTAGTTGGCGGACACACATTTGTTATGGTGAAGCAAGGCCGAGGTCGACTCGTGCAGACGCGCGCGTATATCACGACTCCACTTTTTGGATCGTTGTCATACGAGGGCGCGCGCATGAGCGAGAATGTTTCAGATCTTGTCCTCCCGCGTCAGTGGGTCCGTGGTGAGCGGTCCTGTTGGCGTATCGATCCTATCCCGCATGCATGCAACTACCCTTTTTCCAGACATCGTCATTCCAGGTGAGATCCAACCATTACATGCATATCCATGCCATTGGTTAACAGAAGAAAGGAAAAGGAGCAACCGCTCAGGCGTTGAGGATCAACACATCACAACATTCCCGGGGTCACACAAGAATCAAAGGCTGACAATCGAACAAAAACATGCACGATGAACATATCCGACCAGATCCGGAGTTATCGCGCAGCATAGAGCACCACTGAGCAAAACAAGAAAAATGAGAAACTCAAAAGACCGCTTGAGAAGGGGTGGGAGGAGGGCAAGAGTTCATTCGACAACACACAAGAAACAAAAAATCCATGGCGAATCACTGGGACATCCGAAATTGCCGCAACAAAATTGGCCAATGTTGGAATCAAAAATTATACAGAAGGTCGGAAGAAAGACACCATCCCACGCACATCTGCTCTCTCGCTCTCTTCTTCCTTCTCCACACCACTCCCGATGCGGGCAGTCCGTTGCCTCGCATCAAAACAGAGTTGTCACCCCACTTGGTCCGATTATGCAAGCCAGGTTCGCCCATGCGCCACATTCCGTCGCGGCCCACACGTCAACCTCACATACTTGGCACCAGCTTGTGGGGTCACCCAACTCTCTCGTCTACTCACCTCCTAAGCTGACTTGCTAGCCGATCCTCCCTGACCGCGCTAACTCCAAAATTTCATGGAGAGCAAACTAATTGCGCTTGTGAAATTTATAGCGTGCATGCTTGCGCAAGAAACCCGAGATTATGCCTAAGTGAGAGGAAGGGAAAAAGAAGGAAGTGTCTACGTCAGCATGGCCAAGCCGCGGCGTGGGGGACGCAGCCACAGTCCACGCATTGATCCGGTCATGCAGTCGCTCAGACCAATTAGGATTGTGACGCGCTAACCTCACGCCCTGTGCTGTCTTTCGTTCGGAGTGTTAGGCGTGCGGAAAAGAGGCCCAGAAAAACAGCAAGATCGGATGTGCCAAGGATTTTTGGAAATCGAGTGTGGGGACACAGATGGAACTGAAATCCCCCGTGTTGGTCCGATGAAGCAAGTCAATTGCCTTCGCTCGTCGCGGAATGCGCGCGCGGGCACAACGAGAAAAGAGAAAAATCCAAATTCAATCCAAAAAGTATTGTCGGGCTTCCCACCGGGCTACAGCCCGTCGTTTAGAACGGAAAGGCGTTGGCACGCTTCGCGTTTCTCGTTTTCGTATCAAATCTCGTCGTCGTTCGCTTGTCAGTTCCGAGTCTGACGTGGATGGTCTCAGTCGCGTGGCTCTTTCTTTATGCCCGTCTTCACTCCGCATACGGTAGTGGAAACCCCTGGATTCGTAGGGCTCAAAACGCTGACATTCGGTGCATAGAGTGCGCGGCCAGTGGGGTTCTACTGCCGTCCACGGGATGACAATCAACCCGTTGAATGGCAACAATATCAAGTAAGGTGGGAAGTGCGTATCGATAATGACAAACCCAGCTTCCACGAATCTGAGCAACGATTTGCCGGAGGGAAGTAATACCGCCCGCCGATTTGTGCAACAGCTTCTCGTACGTTCCACTCGCATACACGTGTCCTTCCCTCGTTGTAGGGAAAAGGCCGTGATGGGACGGGAGGTACGGGAGGCTGGTGCCCGATCGGAGGGTACTGGTCATTCCACATATCAATCAATTGTAAAGACCTGGCGACGTCATTAAGAAAAGAAAACACTCGCGCAACTCACAATCAATCCCTTTCAACACATGAGAGAGAGAGGGCAAAGAAGACACTTCCGCAGCTAGGTCATGCATATAACTAAGGGACCAATCCTCGGCTCAGGTTTAGTGAGCCAGCGCGTCGTTGATCCCAGGCGCCTTGTTTCTCGAGGCCGCCCCGTAGCTCGGCTGCTTGATCCCCATACATACATCCACTGTGGAAGGTGCAAAAAATGAGCCATGCACAGGAAAAGATGGATCGCTTGCACAGTACACATGCATCCACCGTTCACAAGACAAGAAGACGGGGTCCTCGCGTAGGAGGATTACCCAGAAAACTAATGGAAGAGTTCCGGAAGAAGTTCTTTCACGCAAGGGAAGCATACAGATTCATGCTCATCCAAGAGAGAAAAAGGGAGAGAAGGAGAGAAGCATCGAGACACATCATTATTCAAAGATAGAGGAGAAGGGGAAGGTGAGGGAGGAGAGTCGAGATAGGAGATGACGCAGCCCAAAAGAAGGAAGTTCAGTGTTGTCAGAGAAAAAGACCCGCAACAACAAAGGCGCATTCGCCGTTAATTCCAAAATGGCCCCGGGCCAATCACTCACTCAACTCTACTCATCGATCCTCATACCCGCACCGACGATCCCGGCCGCCGCGTGCTGACTCCCACCACTGCGATCGTCACCCCGCTGCCGTAGACTCGACACGGTTCGCCCAGATCCCACAGTCTGTCGTGGCGATCCAGCGCGCAACCGGCCAGCCTATCGTCAGCCCGACAGGACTTTCCGACTCGCACCAAACACTCTGCCTAGCCACTGCTTCCCGGRAGCTGGCTTGAGAGTCGAGAACGTAAGAGAGCTTTGCGGACGCGCTTGCGGGTTTTATAGTTGCGACAAGGGAGATAGAAGGGGGAGAAAGCGACGGGAAAGCTATGKAAGAGGAGAAGCAGGAGGAGAAGACTTTGAGAAGAGTGCTCTACGAACGCCATGTTGATCCCTCGAACTCAAGGTTCAACCAATCAGATTCGCCGTGCAATAGGAAGGTCCTATTGATCCACGCACCTGATTGGCGAGCGGGAGTTATCGATGGATCGATCGGGCGTCGTGCGCCAGATTCAGAGGGTGGCAAGAGAAAAGGCGCGAGAAGTAGCGCAAGACGGGTCCAAGATTCAGATGATCAAGAAAGGGAAATGGGCGCGCAAAAAGCAAGGCGCAAGAGAGAGAGAGAGAGAGAGAGAGAGAGAG